CCTGGTGCCTCCGCCCCCCCAGCCCCGCACTGCTCCCAAAGCCAAGCCATTAGCAAGTGCCGGAGCCCCAGAAACCAAAGAAGAACATTTCGGGCCGCATTTCAAGCGGGATGAGTCCTGGGAGCAGACTCGCTCGGTGTCCCCCGGGCACGGACACATGCTGGAGCCACCCGCCTTCCACGGCCCCCTCCAGGGCAGGAGGTCTCCGTCCCCCAACAGGATCCTGCCCCAGCCTCAAGGCACTCCGGTCCCCAACACCGTCGCTAAAGCCATGGCGAGGGAAGCTGCGCAGAGGGTGGCCGAGAGCAACAGGGTAAAGGCAAACTGGGCTGGGCTGGGCTGGGCTCTGGAGCACCTGCACTGAGGCTCTGCTGGGCTGCTTTGTGCTCTGTGACACCACTGGGGCTTTTCTGCTCTCTGGGGCACCTGCACTGGGGCTTTTCTGGTCTGTCCACTGTGGCACTGACCACTGGGGCTTTTCTGTTCTCTGGGGCACCTGCACTGGGGCTCTTCTGGGCTAGGCTGGGCTGGGCTGGGCTGGGCTGAGCTGGGCTCTGTGACACCACTGGGGCTTTTCTCTTCTCTGAGGCACTGACCACTGGGGCTTTTCTGCTCTCTGGGGCACCTGCACTGGGGCTTTTCTGGTCTGTCCACTGTGGCACTTGCTGCCAAAGATTGCTCATCGTGTCCCTCAAGGGGTGGGTAATCATCCCTCAGCTCTGAAGATCCACTGCTTGAGAAGCAGAGTGCTGGAATTCTGGGCTGATGGAGCCCTCCTGTGTCTGCTGTCGTGGATCCACAGGGAATTTTGTACATTTTCCCCTCTCAGTGCAGCCTTGTCACTCAGGTTTGCAGCTGCTTTTGCTCCAGCTCCTCCTGGAGCTGCCAGCAGTGTCACTGCCCAGGGACAGCCCTGCTTTGGGACCCCCATGACCCAAGGCTGTGCTCTGGCTCAGGTCTTTGCCCGTTGATTTAAATCCCACGTGTGGGGCTCTGGGCTCAGTGCAGCTGATGTGGATGTACCCTGACCACGTGCTGTGGGTCTTCCACACAAATATGTAATATTGAAGTACCCCCAGGGCCCTGGGCAGTTACTTTCTCATCACAACTGTCTGTTACTTCCTTCAAGTGTCACTTACCCACAGATTCTCTTGGTGCTTCATCCGGCAGTCATCAGTTATGTCCAGTTTTTAGTCTCCCATTGTATCTCCAAAATGGCTTTTTTAATTTGGACAGTTCACACATGTCTTAACAGCCCCAGCTGATTGACTGTTCCTGTTTTGGGATGCATTTGATCCAGTGGGTAAATCGAGCCAGCTTTTGAGAACCTGAATAATTCTGGATCAATGATAATAGGATAAACACATATGTATGCATCTGTATGTATCTCCCTTTTGTTTATAAGTAACACTGGGATGGACTAGAGGGAGAAAAGGCAATTGGTTTCTTTGGCCCTATGAGGTGAAAGTTGATTTAAGAACCACACAGGGAAAGAGAGCAGAAATCCTTTTTCTGGTGTGGAGAATTGCTGACATGACATGTGCTCTGAACCACGTTTGGTTACATTAGTTTAAGTGATGCCTGAAATGATTTATTCAGGAATCTGGACAGAAGTTTACAGACAAATTGATTCTAAATGAAATCCAGTCCTGCCAGGGGTGTTTGTCCCGTTTGGTCCCCTGTGGTACAAGTCCTGCACTGGCGGTAAGTGCTGCAGGAGGAGCTGTGAGCCTGCCCTGCCTGCTCTGCCGGAGGGGCTCTGTCACAGAGCAGCACGAGTGCTGGCCCAGGGGCTCTCAGAGCACAGCACAGCCTCAGCTGCAGCCTTTGGTACCAGGGCCTCCAATGCTGCTGTGATTGAGCATCCGCTGCTCTGCCAGGGCAAGGAGAGTGTCTGCTGGCAGCCTCCGGGTGCAGTACTGGGAATTTTGGGGAGTGGAACAGGCAGGAGAGCTGGCAGCTCAGCTGACAAACACATCAGTTATTTAAGAGTGAGGGTAATAAAACAGGCAAAAACTTCTTCAAAACTCCTCAAGGGTTCCATCCAGGGGGAACTGACAGTGCTTTAAACCGTGAGAGCTTTTAAATGTTGTGTGCTTGAATCTTTGTATTGGTATTTGTGTCCCTCGGTGCAGGGGCAGTGTCCCTCACTGCTCTCTGTCCTCCCACAGATGGTGAGGAGGAGAGTTTATGTTGGTGTTTGTGTCCCTGAGTGCAGGGCAGTGTCCCTGGCAGTGTCCCCAGTGTCC